TCAATAGGTTTCCTGATCAAGAGAGACTATGGAAGTTCTATCTAGACCACTGTAATTCCTATATTCTTGTACAAGACCTGACAGGGTTAAAAGAGGTCATGCCAACATCCTTTTCTTTGTCAATTACCAACTTGCGTTCCAGGGCACCCCATACCATGGTCTTTGGAAATAAGGTGTGATCTCTGGAGACTCATCAAGAGTTGCAGTTATTTCCAGGATATAATGGCCTCCCGATGATCTCTACCCACTTCCGGAAGCTTTAGATGCTTAAGTGTCACAGGGAAATACTCTACATGCCAATGGTTGCCACAACCTGCTCTGCAGCACACCTCTCTATTACAAAGATTAGACGTACTTCATAGGTTGTGCCATTGTCAACAAACAGGCCAGCTGGGAAAAGAGCCAAAAATTTTTAGTTGGAAAATTTTCAAGGAAGGCTGATACTCTTGGTTTAGCCTTTAATAAAGTATGTTTGAAGCCATATAAATAATAAATTAAGAATAGTCACCAAAGGACTATTAGTGTTATTGAATTTGTGACATTGTTTAATAACACTATTATTATATCTTCAAAAACCCCAAAAGCACAGGAGATATTAATTTGGATCTGCTGCCAGAATTCTCAACCTACTTCTCTTCTCTTGCTCTCACTAATCCTGATCCTCAATCAGACCCCACTCCTTGCCAAGACCTTCAAAAATAACCTCCCACAGCAGAACATGAAGGTTCCAGTGATCTTCAACTTGGAACACCATATATTCTCCATTTTTCTGCTATTCCCTGGCTTCAGGCTAGGCTAGTAGGAGCCCCCGTGGCTATTCTAGTACTTAGCACAGTAACATATTGTGTACCTCAAATACTGAGTAGTAATTTGAATATTTTGCACCTATTCTGAACAGTATTAAAATGAGAAACTGAATTGCACATGTGATACTCAACTTTTCCCCCCAGTAAAGAAGCCATGTACCTCAGCTCTTACTAAGAGTACAAACCTAGCAATAATGCTATTTTGAAAGCCCCTGGAAACCATCCAAAAAACACAGTCCCAAAGGTGCCCTGCCACTATATCTAGTCTATCAATATTTATTGAGTCCAACCAGTTGCAAAAGGCTCCGTAGAGCACAATTTTCATTTGTAGGAGGCTAATCTTTGTCTCTCTATCCTTCCCTCCCTGCCCCCCAACCAGGACGGCCTTTGGCTGGTGCCGACAGACAGAGCCTCCTTCCTCGTAAGAAGGCCTTCTTCCTTAAGCCTAAACCAATAACTTCTCCCCATAATTAGTATACTACTTAATCTGACTTAAGTCTAAACTGTTGCTCAAAATTTTTCCTCAAGGGCTCACAGATTTTGCTGCTTAACATACTTGTATTCTGACATTTAACTTAGTGTATTACCTTCGAGCAGTGGTTCTCATTTTATGTTTCAGAATTACCATTTTGTTGTTTTTTTTTAAAGGAGTAAATATGTAAATTGCTGAATTAAGGAGTCTGCATTTCTAATAAGCTCCCAGGGACACTCAAGCTTGAGTCTGGAGATCCTACTTTGGGACACAATAACTACCTTTGAGAGTCGGATGAAAGCTACAAAAAAACTGTCTAGACACAGAAAATTCTGCATGCAATTTTAAAGGGAACATGAAATCTCACTTGCAGATATCTTCTACTTTATATTTCAAGAAAAAAATTGAATAATGTTTCTAGAATGAACTATAGAAAGTTCAAGTTGTGGCATGAGCATATGTGGAAACAACTCACGAGCATGAAAACGAACCATTTACTGATAGAAAGTCAGCTCTGGGGCTGGAGCAATAGCACAGCAGGTAGGGTGTTGGTCTTGCACGCAGCTGGCCCAGGCTGAATTTCTAGCATCCTACATGGTCCGAGCACCACCAGGAGTAATTCCTGAATGCGTGAGCCAGGAGTAACCCCTGAGCATCTCCGGGTAAAAGAGTGAGCTCTGTCCAATGAGTTGCCTCTTCCCTCACAACTGTCTCTTTCATACGCATGTGATCATTCTTTTCCTGTTTGATTCTCAGAAACAAGTCTCCTCACTTAGTATTTTTCTTTCTAAAATAAAATATTTTTATTTTTTAATCGATCTAAGTTAATAGCTTGTTCTAAATATGAGCATAAATAAATGAAATGAATGACAGCAATGTTTTCAGGAACAAGAAGGAGAAGTAAGGAATACTGATTACAAAGTACCTACAATATTCATGAAGTGGCATAGTGTTATTTGAAACAGAACCTGGATTATTTATAACTACGCACTGCAAATGCAAGAGCAAGCACTATAAAGAGTACTAAAAGTATTATAGGTAGGAGGAGAAGAAAAAAAAATATAATCACATAAAATGCCCAATTAAAACTGGAAAGAGAAAAGGCAGACTAAAAGGAAATAAACAAGGGCAATAAAAACAGTAACAAATAAATGTCAATAATTACTTTAAACATCAATTATCTAAATGTGCCAATTAAGCATGAGAATGAGAAGAAAAACTCCTTACTGGGAAAAAAAATATTTACAAAAGACATTATCTGATAAAGGATTCGTATCCACTACCCCCCTCCCAAATAAAACAATCCCATAATTGTATGGGTTTGAAAGCTAATAGTAAAATAATACAATTTGATTTTTCTTAATATAAAAAAGAACCCCAGAAATTTAATAAGAAAATTAGCATCCATATAAAAAAAAAAGGTTGGGGAGTGCAAATGACTTAATCAGATTCCTTATCACAGATATGCAGATAGCAAATAAACACATGAAAAGACGTCCCACATCAGGTCATTAGAGAACTACAAATTAACTCACTGAAACACAACTCCACACCCATCAGAATGGCCCAAATCCAAAGCACTGAATCACCCAATCCCGATGAGAATGTGGAGCCACAAGAACTCTCATTCAGGGTTGCTAGGAATGCAAGGTGGTACACTGCCACTTCAGAAGACAGTTCGGCAATGTCTTACAGAACCAAAAATGCTGTTATCATAGACATACCAATTATTCTCTTTGGTATATGTCCAAATGAGATAAAAATAGATGTTCGAGCTAAACCCACACATGAATGTTTATAGCTTGTGTATTCATAACTACCAAGATTTAGAGATAAGATGGCCATATTAGGTAAATAATGAACAAGACTGTGGTACATTAAGTCAGTGGAGTATTACTCAATACTAAACACAAGAGCTTCCAAGTCATGAAAATACAAGGAGGAAAGGTAAATACGCACGGCCGTGCAAGAAAGAAGCCTGAAAGAGTACGTATTGTATGATTCCAACTTAGGCCATTTGGAAAAAGCACAGTTATGAAATCAACATGAAGATTAGTGGCTACAGAGGTTAGGAAGCAGAGTACTAAAGGATGAGTACTAGGAACTTCTAGATAGCCATCACTTACGATTTTAAAAGGCTCTTCGGAATCACTAACACTGTATTATAGGTGAAAAGTGCATTGGTAGAAAGAAAAGAAAGAGTAGATGAAGACAGAGCTAGAATAAAATCTTGATTTTTTTTTTCTTTCCCAAAGGCATACCCAATACCTAAGTTTCGGTTTCTTATTTATAAACTTGGGGATATTATAAGAAAGAAAAATCTTTTTTCTATTCCAGGCAAAGGTAATGTGAACCTACCAAAAGGAATGATAAGGGAAGTGGTTCTATATTTAAGGCCATTGATTTTTATTTATGGTAAGGAACATGTTAGATAGTGAATAAATAAAGAAAATAGAAGACTGAACTAAATAATTTCTAAGAGGACCTTAAATGCAACATTTTGTATTCATGAACTCTAAACATCATGAAACTGTATATTTGCTACATATACTAAGCTGGGGTTTCTTAAACTTTTCCATTTGCAACCCCTTTTCACTAGAGAAATTTATCTGGGTATATAAAACACCCTTGGGTATCTGGGTATATAAAATAGAGATACAAGCCAAACATCTACTGATAATAAATCATAAAGAAGTTTATCTTAGGGCCAGGGAGGTGAACATGCAGGCTAGAGCCCCTCCTTTGATCCCCAGGACCACACCTGTGGTGCCCTAAAAGAGTGATCCCTGAGCACAGCAGGTATGCCTTCCCTCACTAAAAAAAAAAAAAAAAAAAAAAAAAAAAAAGTAATTTATTTTAAACAACTGTTTTAGAGGACTGACAGGATAGGGATCAAGGTACTGCATGTACCTGGTCCTGCCTGGTTCTGTCTTCGGCATCACATGGTCTCTAAGTACACCGGGCTGCCTCAACCCATCCAGTACTGCAGGGCAGGAAGGACATGGTCCAGGAGGGTCCCAGGCATTGCCCCTGTGGCCTAAGGAACCCTGGCGCCACCAGTGGCCCAGGCGGCACTGCATCCTCTGGTCCTTACACCAAAGAGCTAGTTGGGTAGGCCAAGCACGAGCACCTCTTACAATGTCCCTCCCTGATAAAAGGAAAAAAACAAAAACAAAAACAAAAAAAAACCCTACTTTGTAAAAAGTTAAGCTACTATATATGGGGTGATGGCCCAGTTTAAAAAAGGCACAAAATGGTCTCCCCCCCATACCTTAATTTAGTATAAACTCCTTAAAGTAACAATCTTAACTTCCTTTATTTTATCCTTCCCAACTCTAACTCCTTCCTTCTACAGTGCTAACATTCCAGTATCTACTATAAATACCTTTCTTCAAAAATTGTCATTGCCCTTCTTTCAAACAGATCTCTATAAAATAAATCTTGTCAACACAGAAAATCTCTTTGAACCCCTGTTAGCCATGTGCAAGGTATGCACCTTAATCCCTTATACCATCGCTCCAGTCTTGTTGTATTTTTAAAATAAAATATTGATCAGTCTTTCCTCAATCTACAATCCTAATTGTTTAGTGCAGGAACTCTTACACTGGGTGTAATGTGTGAATGTGTGAATGTGCACAAAGGCCCTCAAAATTATCCCTAAAATGCCAGATTCTACAGATCTATCAATGATCGAGGTACTGAAGAATTTCAGCCAGACATACCTCCTGCAGAAGCCGTGGGTCCAGGCAGTCACCATCATCATTGAACATAGACTCCCAGCTTTCCTCGGCAGCAGCCTCCTCCTCCACAGGAGCTCTTTCTGCTGCCCTCAGTTCCGTGGATGTATTCATAGATCCTGATTCTATATTAGCAAAGGATACATCCAATTCTATATTCTCGGAGACATCTTCCTCCTGTGTTTTGAACTCTTCAGCAGTTTTTAGTTCATGCAATGCCTCTGTTATATCACCAGTACAATCTAGATCATTGCCCAAGGCACTTTCTGAAAGCGTTTTTGTCCCATTTAACATACTGAGTTCAGAGTCCAAAACAGTGTTACAATTACTACCAGCAATCTTCTTTATAGGTAAGAAGGAGGCACAATCTGACAAGCTCTCTGTCAACTTTCCTGTTGACTCTGTGAAACTCGATGAAATACTCTCCCCATAAATATCCGGGCAAGCAGTCGGGCTCCTGGAGCTTTCAGGGGCATTCTCACTGCCAGTTACAGAAAAAGGGGCTGTACCTACACTCGTTTCTATACATTTTGAGAAATCACTTGTGTTGCTGCCAGTCTGATCTGCCGTTCCAGCTGCAACTAGACAAGGGCTGCCTCTAGGGACCTGATCAGATATGACATCTGTCATGCCCTTTGTACATGCCTTATTGGCAGTGTCACTGACACTCTGAGACTCATTACCTGTAGCTCTATGAGCAAGGAGAGTTGGATCAGAAGGTTCGTGCTTCGTGGGTAGCTCATCAGTCACACCGTCATTCTCCTTATCTTCCGTAATCACTATTGGGTCATAAATGCCATTTGCCCCTTCCAATTGACTGACTGGCATCGGTTCAGGAGAGATGTGACTCACCGTCTCAGGAATGGAACCCAGGTCTTTGTGACCTAAGATGACATCTGTAACATCGGCGCTCTCACCAGAATTTTCCACTTCAAAGTCTGGAGAAGCTTCATCAGTGCCACCCTCCAGACTTCCCGGGACAGAAATCGCTGTGATGTCTCCACCACTGAACTTCAACGTTCCCCCCATTATTGGCTTACCAGAACCAGAGCCTGGCTTTCCTGGTGTCGTCATCCCCTCAGGTCTTAAATCAGAATCAGAAACTTCAGGAAACCGAGATAGTATCTCCACGATCTTGACATCCCCTGTTCCGATTTTGCTTTCCAAATCTCTGTCTTCGCAAGTTTCCCCACTTAGGTCATGCCTACTGCCATCACAGGTTTTCCCGTTCTGGAAGAGGGCATTCAGAATCTGAGACTCGCTGCTCTCTGAGCGAGGCTGTGACAGAAATGGCTTCTCAGGTTCTGCCACCACCGCGGTTTCAACCTCCAAACCCTCAGTCTTCTCTGGCTTACAATGCATTTGCAAAGGCGTCGCAGGTAGAGCCCCAGGGTTTGGGTCTCTGAGGCGAGAGCCTCGAGAGGTGACTTCTTTGGATTCGATGCCTCCTCTTTTCCCACAAACCCTATCTTTCTTTCTTTCTTGAAGGCACGCGTCTTTCCTTAATTTTGTGGAAGACTTCTTTCCTTCCCTAGGATTATGCTCTTTTTTATCAGGATCACTATTCAATCTCTCAGTCTCTGGCTTATCTCTGAAGATCTCCTTTTGGGAGAGACCATCTTCCTTCTGCTCTTCCTTTCCCGTGGAGTGAGGGGGATCGCGGCTTCTCCCCTCTTCACCTGACTTGATGAGTACTACTCCCCTTCGAGCTATGGGGATGTAAAGTGCCTTGTCAGGCCTCCGGACTCGAACCCTGCATCTCTCTGTTGCTTGCTGCATGGTACCAAGTCAACCTGCAAGGAAAAGAGATGACTTAATTACCAGAAACTAATTACCATGTATTGAACCAAGAGACTTTTAAATGGGCCTAAGTGAAGGGCCTACAAGTCCATCCCACAAAAGCCCTTAATGGAAAGGAAAAACTGCCATAATGTAATGTCATCAACTAAGCAAGGAAATTCTAAAATAACCCATGAATCCAAGTAGCCTCTCTTCTATTTCCCCAAACCTCTTCCTCCTAAGTCCTCTGCGTGTTTAGAACAAGTGGACTTATCTTAAATGGAATTAAAACCAAGTTGTAATACCAGCGGTGAGCTTCCAAGCCACACAGCTTCCTCCATTTTATAGAACTCACATTGCAAAGTATATTCAAAAGAGACCCCTAAATACATCTGCTTCTCACAAATACACACACATAAATACGATTTTTAAGAAAACTTAAATGGGAGGTGGGCTAGAAAATAGATAAATCAGGGATGATTTTATAGATGTTGCTTTTGACTATGATTTTGTTATTATTTTTGGGTCACACGTGGTGCTGCCCAGGGGCTGCTCCTGGCTCTGTGCTCAGAGGAAGCTCCCTGGGATGCTCAGGGGACCAAGCATTCACTACCAGAGATCAAACCACCAAAGTTGGCCACATGCAAGGCAAACGACGTAAGCCCTGAATATGATATTTTAGGAAGGAAGAAGGTAGTGGAGGAGATAAAGGCAATGATCCTACTAATAATAGTTAACCAAGTGACCCACTAAAAATTCTTGCTTTGAGTAGCAATAAAACAAGTCTGAGTAGAATGGAAATAGTCTGAAACCAAGGAAGACTGTTAACTCCTAGTAACTTAGACACTCTCCACCGTGGTGGGTCAAATGAATCTAATGAGGGGGGAAATTTAACAAAGTTAAGTGAAACTTTGTTTTACAATCTAAAAATACAAAGGAAATGTGTCAGATCAGTGCCTCCCCAGGACCATCTGGGAGATGCTGGAATGACCCAGGGAAGTAGCAGTAGCTTCTGGTGATTGGGGGGGGGGGGGGGTGCTTTGCTTGTTCCTTGGAAGAAGGTGGCTCTAGGAGAAGCACTATGTGATTCCCCCCACCCCCAAAAAGGGGGCAGTAGGCCAGCTAAGTTTGGGGAGCTCTGGGCTAACCGGTGTCTCTCAGTCTTTTACCAACTGTGGGCCCTTTCAACCCCGTTTCTTCCCACTGGCTTGCTAGTCTCATTCCACAGTTTTCCCATCTATAGAATTTTCATCTGTGATCCCCCAACCCCCCGCCTCATTACCCTGGATTCTCCTGGGGGGCCACAGGGGATCAGATGGCCCCAACTGAAGAAATGCTGTGCTAGATAATTTCATGTTGAGTTCTTTTTAAAACGGGGTGCCAGGGCTAGAACCATGTTGAGTTCTTTTAAAAACAGAGTGCCAGGGATAGAATCCAGGGCCATGTATGGACTGTGGCTCTACTCCTGAGCCACACCCCCAGCCCCCATGAGTTTTAAATAGTGTGAGGTACTCGTGTGTCCAAACTAAAAAGAATGAGGTGCTATATAGAGCAAAGAAACACTAACAGATGTGCTCACTGTTAAGATTCCATCACAGGGGTGAGAGAGTATAGTGGTTAGGGTATATGACCTGGGCTCAATTCCTGCTACCCACAAGCTCCCGAGCCTTCCCAAGTGTAGTGCTGGAGGCTCCCTACTCCACCCCCAGGGAGGCCCTGGGATTCCAGAGAACTGCCGGCCGGGCCCCAACACTGGTCTGAGAATTGCCAGTGGACCCCAACCCGACCCCAGGGCCTCCCGAGCACCATTGGAGAGACCCAAAAAGAGGGCGGGGGAAGATTCCACCGCATACATTTACAGCTGGAGCGATAGCACAGCGGTAGGGCGTTTGCCTTGCACACAGCTAACATGGCCAACCCGAGTTCGATTCCTCGCCCCTCTCGAAGAGCCCAGCAAGCTACCGAGAGTATCTCACCCGTACGGCGGAGCCTGGCAAGCTACCCGTGATGTATTCAATATGCCAAACACAGTAACATCTAAGTCTCCAATGGAGACATTACTGGGCCCGCTCGAGCAAATCCATGAACAACGGGAGGACAGGACAGGACAGGACAGGACAGGACAGGACAGGACATTTTAATCATTTTGTTGTAGCTTTTTGTTTTTATTTAATTTTTTTTTTTTGGTCTTAAGGCCACAGCCAGGCTGTGTCTGGGGGACCACCCAGAGACTCACATACACCAGCAAGCACTTCAAGACCAAGCTACATTCTAAGAACAACAAAGCCTGCCCACTCCATTTCAATCTCTAAAACATCGCCCGAGTCAGAACGTGTGTGCACAGGTTATTTTCCTTTCAATGCATTCTGGTGTCGGTGTCCTCATTACTACTTAGTTCACCATTCTTTGTAGATTTTCCATCTTTTCCTTTATGGGAAAATATGACACCAACTTTCAGTCATACCGAAATTTTCCCAAAACACTTAATTTTGGAAGCTGAACTAAAGTACATTTTACTGAACGGGATGTCTCGGTCACGCTGCCTCTTGATCTTAGCAGAGCATCTGACAAGATGTACCATGATGAATTTCTACATATGTGAGGGGGTAAGTCGGCTAGGTTCTTGAAAGAACTTGTTGGGGGCGGGGGGGCGGGGGTTACAACAAAAAGGAATATAATCAGCAGAAATAAACTCAGAGGGGGTTCCTTAAAGGAGGAGTGTGACTTGACAGCCCTTAGGGATCCAACCCTTTAGTTTTTTCTAGCTGAATCATCATGAATTACAAAGTTACAAGGATATTTGATATTTGTGATTATATTTCAGGGTATACTGTTCCAACACTTAACCCTTCACAGCGTCTACTACATTCCACCAATGCTGGATGACTCCCCCCCCCCCACTACCACCCCTTCCCCCTGCCTCTGTGGAAGATACATTTCCACTCCTCCATGAACCTAGGGCCCCCAACCCCAACCCTCCCAATGGCAAGCTTCGGCGGAAGACCAGTTCTCCAGCTCCTGAATTCTACTGCATCCCCTAGGAAGTTTCTTTATATCCTGTATCTTAAACAGCAGCTGTGTGCAAATCAAATCTCAACTCCTATCCAGGATGGAAGAGGCACAGCTGTACTGTACTTGCCTTGTATGCAAGAGGTCTTGAGTTTGATTCTTAGGACTCAAAAAATAAAACCTGCAAATGACAAAATTGATTAAAAAAAAAAAACTAAACTTAACCTATTTCTACAACCTGAAATGTGGTCACAGATCTATGAAGAAATAAAACTTAAAACATACAAAAATGTGCTTTGGGTTAAAAGCATCGAAAATAAAAAAGATTTGCCTGTGGGGCCAGAGCGATAGTATAGCAGGTAGGGGATTTGCCTTGCACGCGGCCAACCCAGGTTTGATCCCTGGCATCCCATATGGTCCCCTGAGCACCGCCAGGAGCAATTCCTGAGTGCAGAGCCAGGAGTAATCCCTGAGCATCACTGGGTATGACCAAAATAAGCAAAAAAAAAAAAAAAAGCGCCTTGTGTAAAATTGTACAAAAGAAAGATTAAAAAGGTATTTTACTTATCTACAAGGTTAAAACAAAAAAGGCAAGAAAAAAAAGATGCAGATGTTTAAAAAACCACAGTGTTAAGAATATAGAAAATATATGATCTCTAATTAAAAAGCAACAGAAAACTTCTTGCCCAAACAAGTTTCAATGGAAACATTCCGGGTACTTCGATACCAGGACAAGTTTGTTGCTCTGCAAAAGAAAAAAATTTTAATTGTTATATTTTTCCAAAAGCCTGTAGCAGTATTAATAGAAATTAAAAGAAAAAAAAAGTTAAAAACAGAAAACAAAAGTCTAAAAAAGAACCCTACTTTGAGAGTTCTGTTATTATAATCTCTATCTCTAGAAGGGATTAGCACATTGCTACACGTGCTGTGTTCTGTGTTAACTGAGTCACATTCAAGTGTGAGTCATTTTTGGTACATACCCGAGTCAATGTGTAAATAAAAAAGGATGACTGATGGGGCTGGGAAGAGTGCTCAAAAGGTTGGAGTATGTGCTTCATATGTGAGAACCCTGAGTATAATGCCCAGTACCACATGGTCCCCCAAGCGCTATTGGGAGCAAATCTGGAGCACTGAGCTGAGAGTGGCCCCTGAACACCACTGGGTATGGTCCAAACCTCCCACTCCGCAAAGACTAGTTGACTAGAACACCACAAGAAAAAAATAACTACAACAGACATTTACGGAAGACTTCAATTTTTAAATTCTTATGTGCTAGTTAATAACTTTAAAATTTTAACTTTTTATTCCTGTCCATATGCTATCACAATTTCCTGAAAATAAGTAACAGTGGAAGAAATTTGTACTATCGCTTTTTTATTAAACACTGAGTTCAATTATGCAAGACTCGTGATTAGCGACTAGCTTTCCAAGTGCAGTACTCGTTGGTACTTTCATTGAGTCAATGATGCCACAGTGTCACTTCTTCACTGAAGTGGATAATCACATTTGAATGGAAAAGTTTAGCCTCAATTTTAGCTACACATAATTCAACAGCTCAAGACATGATACTTTTATGTCTACTTTATTAGCATTTTCTCTATCACTTCAAGTTTAAACCATCCGTAAACAATAAATCCAATGCTGATTTATGGCAATTGCCGATCTTTGTGTGTAAATATTCCCACCATGGCTAATTTCAGGCCACCAAAATCAGTGAACATGGAGTTGGAAAGTACGCCACAATACAGCATTTCAACAAAGAGATAACAATCTACATAAATAACTTCAAGAACATAGATCATGGTAAAATGTAGTAAGATAACAAAGTGATGCATTTCAATTATTACCATTCTAAGTATATAATAAGAAGTCTTGTTAATATTTAATGGCTGCTTAATCATCTAGCAAAATTTCTAAACTACTAATAATTTCTAAACTACTAACACTAGTAATTCCTAAGAGAGTCTTAAACTACAAATAATCAACTCTCAGGCTTGGAGGAAAC